CAATCTCACTCTGCTTCTCTTCTCCGTCTCACTCATTCGATGCTTTCTTTTGCTCTTCGCCGTAAATCCGTAGGGAAGATGAGCTGCAATTTCGAGTAAGTTGGAGCAATAAGTCTCGACCGTCCTGCGGTTGGCCTTTTTATTCCTTAGATTCTTTATCGATTAGCCTTAAGATTCATATTGCCATGTTTCCTAATTCCTGGTATTTTTTTTACAAAAAGTGGAGTTCGTTTCTTAATTGATAGGTTTCTCTTAAACTGTTGTTTCCCGATTTTGATTAATAATTTACGTTTACTTTTTAGTAGACCTGGTTTTCCCATATATCTGCAACATCGATTCGAAATTGCCTATTAAGAAATTATACACACACACGCACACTCTCACACACACACACACACACACACACACACACACACACACACACACACACACACACACACATATATCCATATGTACACACAAGAGAGAAGAACACCCAACAATTGCTATTGGTATAGATATTATTTAATCTCTCTCTACCGAATTTGGAAACCCTTATTAGAACGTTACTTTCCTTTACAAGCCCTTTCCTCCTGATCTCTGGATTAGTAGTTTTATCTTTTGATTTTTAGATATAAGTCAGTTTCCTGTTTTCTCAATATTTTCTTTTAAGATTTTTTTTCCTTTTCTTCAGCACAGTGGGTATTATAAATAGCTCCAAAACTCTCTTCAATACCATAAACGATCCGTAAGGATAAGATCCACTTCTGTTATATCTACTCTGCAGTTACTTTTTCATCTCTTTAATTCCATTGTTGTTACTTTCATAATCTCTCTTCCACTCTCTGATACCTTTGTGTGTTAATATGTATGCCTCTTTGTTGACATCACCAAACAATAATCAACAAAGTAATTACCAACTTCTCTTCTATTCAATTTCAACCTCTTTCTTTATTTCTTAAATTGAGTTGCTACTGTACTTTAACTGTCTGCATGTTATAATTACTTTATAATATTCGTTTTGAATTTTATATTTGATTATATGCTTCAGAAGTTGATGATCAGAAGGTGGTACCCACTGATCAACTTAGTGCTCTGCAAAAGCATGTTCTGTTCTTTGACAAGAACCATGATGGAATCATTTATCCATGGGAGACCTACCGAGGTGATCTTTAAGTTCTTTGTTCCCTTCAGAAAAATTCTATTATATTGATTATGCTTTTTCCAATCTTCAACAATTTAACTGTTCAAATTAATGACAAAATTTTCTGGATTTTATTATTAATTCTGCAATATCTTTAACAGGTTTTCGTGCAGTTGGTGCTGGTAGACTCTTGTCATTGTTTTTTTCTGTTTCCATCAATGTTGGTCTTAGTCGGACTACTCGTCCGGTAACTCTCCCCCCCCTCTCTCTCTCTCTCTCTCTCTCTCTCTCTCTCTCTCTCTCTCTCACTCTCTCTGTTTTCTCTCTCTCTGTTTTCTCTACTTGGTTTCTTTGTTTCTTTTGTAGACTTTTGGATAGTGTTAGTAAATTTTTAGTTTATATTTGTATTGGATTTAAGAAGCAGCAAGTGAATTGTGTTCTTTAATATATTAATTCTACGAATTATTAATGTGAGGCAGGGAAAATTCTTTTCTCCGCTATTTCCAATTGTTGTCAAGAATATCCATATGGCCAAGCATGGGAGCGACTCTGGTGTTTATGATGATAGTGGAAGGTGTGTTATCTTTTTTAAGGATATAAAGTTCTCTTTGCAGATACTTTGCAAGTAGTGTTATGTTTTGTTAGATGCTATAGGTATAGTATTCTTGGTTATATTACTTTAAATTTCTATAGAGTTTTTTCTTTCCCAAAAAAAATTCTACAGTATTCTTGTTAATTTTTACTTATAAACATATAAATGCGGATTTCTGTATAAGTAAAATTCAACGATTGGTGATAAATTAGTTCAATATGAGGAGAAAAAGTTTGTGTTACAGAAAATTTGATGCTTTTTGATTGTAAATAGTGAGGCAACTATAAGCTTTTATTTCAGAATTGAGATTTTGTGCTCTCGTTCGAATTGTATACTAGTATAGAACGATTTAAAAAGTATATATATTTTATATTTAGTGAATTATTTGTCTATTTGTTATTGAATTTTTCTACACCCACTAAATTTGCACACTTTTAATTGCTCTAACATTCCACAACAGAGTTTAGTTCTAAAAAAATAAAATACAATTTTATCAAATTATCATATATTAATTCGTGTGTCTATGCTATGTGAATGTTTTTTGTTTGATATTTTCTCCTTAAAAAAGATAGTTTTAATGAATTATAGTTAAGTGATTGATAAAGAGTCGATGTTGCAGATTTGTTCCGTCTAAATTTGAAGAGATATTCACCAAGTATGCTCGTACTCATCGTGAAGCTTTAACATCAGATGAATTGAAGGAAATGGTAAATGCTAATAGGCAACCCGAGGACTTTAAAGGAAGGTTAGTGTTTTTCATTTTATTTTATTATTAAGAAGTGAAAATGATTTTAATTAATTAATTAATTATCTTTATTTATAATTAATTTCAGGATAGCGAGCTTGATGGAATGGAAGTTACTTCATCATCTTTTTAAAGATAAAAATGGTTTATTGCAGAGAGAGACAATTAGAGCTATGTTTGATGGAAGTCTCTTTGAACGGACGGAAAAGGAGAGAAAGAAGAGAGTTATTGACACAGTGTAGATTGTTATAACAGTAAATAGAAAAAAAAAAAAAATGTAATTTCTAATTTCATTTCTATGATAATAATGTAGCCATCCATTACCATTAGTAGTTGTGTAATTTTTCTTTTGTTAGAATCAGAAGACAAAAAAACAAAGATATCCTAGTTTCTCAATGTCTTAAAATAGACATATATACATATACAGACGCACACAAAAATCAAAGCAACCCATGTCAGCTCTTGGTTTTTAAGAATTATATATTTCATGTACGAGTAAAATTGGGATAAACGTATTTTAGCTTCAGAACTATTATTTTTGTTCAATTTATCCATTTGGTTCCTATTTTGATTTTACCTCGGATTAATCTACTTGATTTTTTTTTTTATAAAAAAATAATTGATTTAATCATTCTCTACCCATAGTATTTAGCACTGTCAGCATTTATGTCATTGTAACACCCAAGTAATTTTATTTTTTTCTTATTATTTTTATTTTTTTGTATTTGAATTTTTTATATTTTTAATTAATTTAATTTGATTTAATTTAATTTAATTTAATTTAATGAAAATAAAAATAATAATAATGATAAAATTGGGTAAATATATTATTTGGATTTAATTGAAATTGATTTTGGAAAAAATGAGTGAAAATTTA